CCACTCACCTCAGCCTCCCAAAGGCGCGGGATCACAGGCTGAGCCACCAAGCCCGGCTAAGCAGCACACTCTTGACCCATCACGCTGTCTTAAGCCCTGAGACCAGGCTCACTCTCTGTCCTCCAAAACTTTCCGTCGTTGTCCAGTCTCCTTTTTTTTGGTTTCACCGTTTGTTTTATATTTGAAAGAAGTTCAAGGGCATGCCAGGTTTTCTGAAATTCCAGCTGGTTAAATATTAAGGCCTATTGTTGTGCACATTTTAAAGCTGGTGGGTAAATTACGAGGAAATTTCAGAGTTCAGATAGTTAACCTGCAACTACAGGGTTAAATACAGACTGGAAGCTCGGCTCTCAGCACTTTGGGAGGCAGAGGTGCGTGGATTGCCTAAGCCCGTGGGTTCGAGACCAGCCCGGGCAACTTGGTGAGACCTCGTCTATACAATGAAATAAAAAATAGCTGGGAGTGGTAGCACGCATCTGTAGTTCCGGCTACTCGGAAAGCTGAGGTGGAAGGATCGCTGGAGTCCAGTAGTTTGATGCTGGAGTGGCCGTGAGCATGCGTGCCACTGTACTCCAGCCTGGGCTGAGGAGTGAGACTCCAACTCAAAAAAAAAAAAAAAAATAGACACCGGAAAGGAAAACAACAAACTCAAGGGCTGAAGTTTGTTGTTTTATAATAGCTTATAATATGAATCCAATCCAGGATGGTTTTCAGACTAAACTCTAGGCCTGACTCCCTCTCACCTTGAAACAATTGACTCTAAAATCAGGTCACACGATGTCCTTCCCCACAATCCAACATCACCGAGGTGGACACTGTTGTCACCAAATGGACAGTTCTAGGAACATGCCTCCTCGCTCCATGGGGCCTCGCCAGATCAATGGAATAGACAACCCTAGGAGTGAGCCTTCCTTGACTTGGGAGCTCCTGCTGTTAAGAATGACTTTTAGATGCCAGGCTCCTGGCTCAACCTGTAATCCCGCACTTTGGGAGTCTGAGGTGAGTGGATTGCCTGAGCCCATGGGTTTGAGACCCGCCTGGGCAACTTGGCAAAACTTCATCTCTACAATAAATTAAAAAATCAGCCGGGTGTGGTAGTGCACACCTGTAGTTCCAGCTACTTGGAAGGCTGAGGCGGAAGGATCGCTGGAGCCCAGCAGGTCGAGGCTGCAGTGGGTGGGAGTGGCCACTGCACTCCAGTCTGGGTGACAGAGTGAGACTCCAATTCAAAAAAAAAAGGAATGACTTTTAGGCCGGGTATGGTGGCTCATGCCTATAATCCCAGCACTCTGGGAGGCAGAGGTGAGAGAATTGCCTCAGCCCACGGGTTCCAGACCTGCCTGGGCAACTTGGTGAGACCTCATCTCTACCATAAATCAAAATTTGGCCAGGCGTGGTGGTGTGTGCCTGTGGTTCCAGCTACTCGGAAGCTGAGGTGGAAGGATTGCCTGAGCCCAGCAGGCTGAGGCTGCGGTGGCCATGAGCGTGCACCACTGCACTCCAGCCTGGGTGACAGAGTGAGGTTCCAACTCAAAAAAAGAAAAAAAAAGAAAAAAAAATGATGTTTGGCTAATGAGAAAACTGAGGACCGAATGTGACCTTTTCTCATTCCCAAATTCCTAACTAAAGGCTTGGGAAGTCACTGCCTAATAAGAATTCCCTAAAAAAGGTTTTATTGTCCTGTTAGTCACCCTGTATAGTAAGTTTGTTTGCCTTACTCTGGCATAGTGTCATATAACAGAAGAGGTCAAGGTTGCAGTGAGCTATGATGGTGCCACTGCACTCCAGCCTGGGCAACAGAGTGGGACTATGACTCAAAAAAAAGAAGGAAAAAAGAAAAAAGGTCAGAGTTTAGTCTGCACAAGATACTCTTTTTTTTCTTTTTTCTTTTTGTTTTTGTTTTTTGAGTTGGAGTCTCACTCTGTCGCCCAGGTTGGAGTGCAGTGGCCGTTCCTGGTCACCGCAGCCTCGACCTGCTGGGCTCCGGCGATCCTTCCGCCTCAGCCTTCCAAGTAGCTGGAACTACAGACGCGCGCTACCACGCCCGGCTAATTTTTGATTTATTGTAGAGATGAGGTCTCACCAAGTTGCCCAGGCGGGTCTTCAACCCGCGGGCTCAAGCAATCCACTCACCTCAGTCTCCCAAGGCACGGGATTACAGGCTGAGCTACCGAGCCCCCGGCTTTTTGCTTTTATTTTTGAGTCGTAGTCTCACTCTGTCACTCAGGCTGGAGCACAGTGGCACGCTCACAACCACCACAGCCTCGACCTGCTGGGCTCTGGCGATCCTTCCGCTCAGCCTTCCAAGTAGCTGGGACTATAGGCATGCGCTACCATGCCTGGCTAATTTTTTGATTTATTGTAGAGATGAGGTCTTGCCAAGTTGCCCAGGCTGGTCTCAAACCTGTGGACTCAGGCAATCTTCTCATCTCGGCCTCCCAAAATGCTGGGATTATAGCATGAGCCACTGGGCCCGGCCAAGACACTCTTATCATTCAGAAATCCCGAGGGTTTCAGGAGTCTTTCCTAAGAACCAGGGAGAAAGAACAAATATGTCTATAGCATTATATTTACATTTATGTAGATATGTTTATGTAAATATCCATTTATGTATAAATAGATATAAAATATGCATGTATTTACATATATACAAATATATACGTATATACATATATGTGTACTTATAAATATATATATACATATATATTTAAAAATATATATTTTCTAGTCAGAGTCTCACTGTGTTGGCCAGACTGGAGTGCAGTGGCATAATCACGGATCACCACAGCCTCAACCTCCTAGGCTCGGGCGATCCTTTCACTTCAACCTCCCATGTGATTGAGACTACAAGCATGCGCCACCAGGTCTGGCTTGTTTTTTTGATTATTTGCAGAGACTAGGTCTCACTAATGTTGCTCCTGGGCTCAAGTGATCCTCCTGCCTCGGCCTCCCAAAGTGTGGGATGACAGGCGTGAGCCACTGCGCCTGGCCCAAATATCCTTTGTGCCACATGCTCCTGTCAGCTTCTCCCATTACACACATGCTGTGAGCAAACCCCTTGCATCTGCTCTGCGGATGCAACTTCAAGACAAGTGTCCTAGCAACACCTTCCAAACGGATTCCAGAGCTGCCAGGGCTTCCAGCGAGCCGCACGCCGGGCTGATTGGCCAGCCTATGGCATGACACCTTGCTTCACCTCCATGCAGTTTCTCACGCATGAACTGGAGGCTGGTTTTTGTGTTTTTTTTTGAGTCGGAGTCTCTGTCTGTCGCCCAAACTGGGATGCAATGGCACGCTCACGGTCACCCCAGCGTCGACCTGCTGGGCTCAGGCAATCCTTCCGCCTCAGTCCGCCAAGTAGCTGAAACTACAGGCGTGCACACTATGCTTGGCTAATTTTTCTTGATTTATTGTAGAGACGAGGTCTTGCCATGTTGCCCAGGTGGGTCTTGAGCCCCTGGGCTCAGGCAATCCTCTCGCCTTGGACTCCCAAAATGCTGGGATGACAGACTTGAGCCATCGCGCCCGGCCTGGAGGTTGTTTAAGGAGATGACGGGTATCAGGTGCCTGGTGGGCAGGCTTGCACAGTGAGTATGAGCTTCTTTACCCCCGGCTAATTATAGAGGTCCCTGGCCCAACCCGCCCACGCTGAGGTTGTTCTCTCAACCCCGTGGGAAGGCCTGTGTGCTCTGCATCAGAAGCTCCACTCCTGCGCACGCGCACACACGCACCAGCCACCACACCGAGCACCAGTAATGGTTACCATCAGGTTGACAGAGGGTGAGGAATGCGCTTAGGAGCCCTGGGCACTAGGCCGGGTTTTGCCCCTAACCGTGTGACTTTAGGCAAGTCCCAAGTTCTAACACATACACATACAGACACACACACACATACATACACACACGCACACAATTTGTAGCCAGGCACGGAGACTCACACTCATAATCCCAGCACTTTGGGATTGCTTGAGCCCAGGGCTTCAAGACCAGCCTGGGCAACCTAGTGAGACTCTGTCTCTAAAAAATTAGTCAGGTGTGGTGTGGAACCCTTGTAGTCCCAGCTCCTCGGGAGGCTGAGACGGAAGGATCGCCTGAGTCCAGGAGGTCGAGTTTGCACTGAATTGTGATTGTACCACTGCACTCCAGCCTGGGGGACAGAAGGAGACCCTGACTCAAAAGCTAAAAACAAAACAAAACAAAATTGGTACAAAGTGTGTGGGAAAAGTCTGAGGTTCTCTGAAGTCCCTCCCATTCTGAAAAAGTCAGCTCAGCATCAGCCCCAGCATGTGAAGTGGAGAGAAACAGCCAATGAGGATGTGAATAACGTAAAACTTTATTATGGCGAAAAGGGCTGGCTTGAGGCCTCAAGCCTAAAGGTACCTTCCCAAGGTCAAGATTAGAGAAGAATAGGGAGATGCCTCAGCCTCAGCTGGGCAATGCAGGGCTGGGGATGGGGCTGGGATGTGGGGCTCAGGGCACTGTTGGGCCCTTTTCTTCCAGTCCCAGTCCCCTCTCAGGAGACCGAAAGCAACCTAAGGCCCTACAACTAACCCAGGGCAGGGAGGGAGAGATCCAGTCTGGCCTCCCTCACCTAGGAGCGAGAACAGGCATTGCAGGGGGGCACTCTTGACTCCCCCAAGACCAAGAAGGGGGGCTCTCCTCCAGAAACACTGTGGACCCCACTGTGGACCCCTCTGTGGACCCCATAGAGAAGGGGTCTCCCAGTGCATCTCCCCCTGGCCTGGAAAGGGCTGAAACCTGGACAGACACGGACACCCACAGAGCGTGGAGGAACCAGCGGGTCAGGGCCGAGGGGGCGACTTCAGGGCTGCGTATCCACCTTCCCACTGCTTCAGCTTCTCATCCATGGCCCGAAGCGTGGACTCACTCTGCGCCAACACAGACGGGTGCTGCCATCTCTGCACAAGCCTCGGGTCTTGGGGAGGGGTGGGGCTTCCCTCCCCCACCCATTACCTTCACAAAGCAGAAACGGATGAGGTGGTCAAAGTGCTTCTGATGTGGCCCGCTGTAGAAGATGGAGGCCGGGATGGCCACCAACCCCTGGGGAGGAGGAAGGCCACGTCTCAACACGGTCCTGTGGCCCAGCAGGCCTCAGCTCCGGGGGGACAGAGCAGTTCCCGTGACCAGGCAGGGAAGGAGAGGCAGCGCCAGCCCAAAAAGAAAAAAAAAGGCTGGGCACAGTGGCTCACGCCTATAATCCCAGCACTTTGGTAGACCGAGGTGAGAGGATCGCCTGAGCACACGGGTTCAACACCAGCCTGGGCAACTTGGTGAGACTTCATCTCTACAATAAATCAAAAAATTAGCCAGGCATGGTGGTTTGTGCCTATAGCTCCAACTACTTGGAAGCCTGAGGCAAAAGGATTGCCCGAGCCCAGCAGGTCGAGGCTGTGGTGGCCGAGAGCATGCCACTGCCCTCCAGCCTGGGTGACAGAGTGAGACTCCAATTAAAAAAAAAGAAACAGGCTCCCCCATTCTCTGAAGTGGATCCAGCTCCATCTCAGGGCTCCCGGCAGAGGCTGGGCACCCCTGAGCAGCTCACAACCTGTGAAACCGTACATGGCGCCCCTTGCAGAATCCCTGCCCACCTTGTTCTGGATCATCCACTTGACAAAGCGTCTGTCATAGGGCTCATCTGCAGCACCAGGTAGGTCGGGCATCTTGCTCTCTGGGAGACAGAGGCCATGCTGAGCCCCCAGCAGGTCCGGCCCCCAGCCCCCACTGCCCAGACTGGTCAGTCCCGCTCACTGAAGTCTGAGATGTCTGTGACAAGGAAGTAGCTGCCCTGCGGGATCACGGGCTTCAAGCCCACCGCCTGCAGGCTGCGGATCATGTGGTCCCGGTTGCGCTGCATGGCCTGGGGGAGCTGCATGAAGTAGCTGTCGGGCTGGCCCAAGCGCTGCTGCTCCTGCTCAAAGCTCTCGGCTACTGCGGCCTAGCCAGGCAGATGGACAGACAGGTGGGTTGGTCCAGCACGGCGGCTCACGCCTGTAATGCCAGCACTCTGGGGGGCTGAGGTAGGGGAGTGAGGGGGATTGCTTGAGCCCAGACCAGCCTGGACAACATAGGGAGACCTTGTCGCTACACAAAATTCAAAAAGCTAGCCAGGTGTGGTGGCGCATGCCTATAGTCTCAGCTACTCGGGAGGCTGAGGCAAGGGGATCACTTGAGCCCGGAGGTCGAGGCTGTGGTGAACTGTGATCGTGCCACTGCACTCCAGTTGGGCTACAGAGTGAGATCCCAACTCAAAAATCAAAAACAAAAGAAGCAGGCAGGTCGGGCGTGCCCCTGGGCTCTTCTCTTGCCCACCCCCACTTCTCACCTGGCCCTGCGTGGGGCAGTGGAAGATGGAGTTCTGGTGCACAGTTCGCAGGTGCTTCATGATGCGATCTGGACCCAGGACCCAGCCCACCTGACCAGAAACATAGGCAAGGGTGAGGCCCTCCTGGGCCTGGCCACATCCTTCCTGGATTTCCAGGCTCACCTCACCTGCCAAGGACCTTGGGGGGAGAGCTACCCCTACCCTCATCCACTCACCTTCCAGCCAGTGGCGCTAAAGGTCTTGCCGGCGCTGCCAATGGTCAGAGTCCGTTCCCACATGCCGGGGAGGCTGACTGCCCAAAGCCAAAGAAAGCAACTGCTGAGATGAGGGTGATGGGCAGCGGACGGGTGGTGGCCTGGGTCCCAGTGGCTCTCAACACTCTGGATGCCTCTACATACTAGGCAATTCTCAGGATTTTTTTTTTGAGTCAGGGACTCACTCTGTGGCCCAGGCTGGAGTGCAGTGGCATGATCACGGCTCACCACATCCTCAACCTCCTGGGCTCAGGCAATCCTCCCTTCTTAGTCTCCTAGAGTAGCTGGGACTACAGGCATGTGCCACCATGCCCAGCTAATTTTTTGTAGAAACATGGGTCTCGCCATGTTGTCCAGGCTGGTCTTGAACTCCTGGCCTCAAGCAGTCCTCCTGCCTTGGCCTCCCAAGGTGCTGGGATTACAGACTTGAGCACCTGTACCTAGCCTTCATGATTTATCTAATTCTTAGCAACCCGGAGGCAGGTGCTACTGTGACCCTCTGCATTAAAGGGAGGTCAAGGTCATAATGGCTCCAGACCCCAGGGTCTTACCACCCGGCCTGCATTGATTCTCAGATTGAGTCAAGGACCTGCCATGAACACCCAGGGGAGGGGCCCCTGGCCAGTGGGGCTCACCGATGCTGATGTGCTGGTGCCCGTCGTAGACCAGCCACTGGTAGACCTCGTCGCTGATGCACAAGACATCATGCTGCTGGCACAGGCTGGCCACCAGCTCCAGCTCCTCCCTAGAGTACACCTGCAGGGACCCAAGGAGGACACGGGCCTGCAGCCAGGACCGTCCCAAAACACACAGGCCTGCTCAGAGAGGACAAAGAATACGGCCATCGGCCAGACGTGGTGGCACATGCCTATAATCCCAGCACTTTGGGAGACTGAGGCGGGAGGATTGCTTGAGGCCAGGAGTTCAACGCCAGCCTGAGCAACATCACAAACCCCCCCCATCTCTATTGAAAAAAAAATACAGCCAGTCCTGCCACCACAGGCTGCTCTATGCCATCCCAAAGGGACCCTGAAAGAGGGTCTCGCCTGTTCTGATTTTACATATGAGGAAACACTACAAGAGGTGAAGTCACTGTCATGAGGTTATGGGTGACCTCCCACACCACCTCAGCCCTCATGCCCTTCCTGGGGATTCCTGCCCTGCCCCTGGCATCTCTGGACCTTGGTTCTGAGCCCTTAGCATGTGCAACTCTCCCACTTCACAGAGAAGGAACGGAGGCCCCTGGGCAGCCAGTCAATAGCTGCGTGGGAGATGCAACCCGGGTGGAGGCTTCTTGGGTACCTTCCCCAGGGGGTTGTTGGGTGTGTTCAGAACAAGGGCTTTGGTGCGAGGTGTGAATCTGCTGGCCAGCTCTGCGGGGTCCAGCTTCCAGTTGCTGCTGGAGTCCAGTTCCCCATCCGGGACGGGACCCTACAAGAGCAGGTGTCAGGAGGTAGGGTGGTGGCAATAACTACCCACACAACACACGGCTCTTCCTCTGGGCATCTGTCCCACCTTCTCTCCCCGGAATGGGGACACACACCTGCCCTCTGCCTTCCCTGCTCAGAGGAATTGGCCTCTTTCCCTTCCACCCTCCTTCCCCACCTCCCGGGTCCAGCTCGGCCCATCCATACCACACGCGGCATCCTCACCGGCTTCAGGGACACAAACACGGGGCGACCCCCCGCCATCAGTGTCATGGGCTCGTAACAGTCAAAAAACGGCTCGATGATGATGACCTGGGACAAGGGTTGAATTAGCTGGGCCGAGCCCTGCCCTGAGCCCCACCCCTGCCCTGAGCCCCACCCCTGCCCAGCCCAAGCCGGGCCCGCTCACCTCATCTCCCTCATCCACAAGGGCCTGGAAGGCTGTAAACAGAGCCCCATAGGCACCCACTGTCACCAGCACATTCTCGAGCGGGTCTATCTCCTGACCCAGCAGCTTCCCAAAGAAACTTGCCAGGATCTTCGTGAGAGGTGGATAACCCTGCCAGGACAGCAAGGGTCAGCGCTGGGGCTCGGCCTGGCCCTTCATTCTGCTCGGCCACATCCGAGCACTTCTAGCACTTTCCAGGGGATGCCTGGGGGCAAAGTCATCCACTGTGCCCAGTTCGCTCAACTCCTCCACTGGCATTTAGCCTGGAGGGTGTTCTGTGCCAGGTCCAGAGCTCAGGGCTGGGACATGGCCAAAAACAGAGGAATGCTTGCCTTCAGGGACCAAGCCCAGTAGAGCCCTGGGGAGACAGAAACTCCACACTTCATATACCTCTCTCTCTAGGTTCTGTTTTTTTGTTTTTTTGTGAGTCAGGGTCTCACTTTGGCACCCAGACTGGAGTGCAGTGGCACGACCACAGCCACCAAAGCCTCGACCTGCTGGGCTCACGACCACAGCCACCAAAGCCTCGACCTGCTGGGCTCAGGTGATCCTTCTGCCTCAGCCTTCCAAGTAGCTGGAACTACAGGTATACGCCACCACACCCGGCCGGTTTTTGATTTATTGTAGAGACGAGGTCTCGCCAAGTTGCCCAGCTGGTCTTGAACTCCTGGACTCAGGAATTCTCTCGCCTCGGCCTCCCAAAGTGCTGGGATGACAGGCTTGAACCACTGCGCCAAGCCTGCCTCAGCTTCTGAGCAGATGGAACTGCAGGCTCACACCCTGGTTTAACAATATCCATTTATAGTATTTTTTTTTGTTTTGAGTTGGAGTCTCACTCTGTCGCCCAGGCTCTGGAGTGCAGTGGCAGGCTCATAGCCATCCCAGCATCAACCTGCTGGGCTTAGGTGATCCTTCTGCCTTAGCCTTCCAAGTAGCTGGAACTACAGGCACGCACCACCATGCCTGATTAATTTTTTTTTTTTTTGAGTTAGAGTCTCACTCTGTCACCCAGACTGGAGTGCAGTGTCTGCTCCCGGCCACA